TATTAAATACAATAATTTTTGTCTTATTGATATTGACTTGAAGTTTCCACTTTTCGCAGTACTGTTCAAGTTCATCAAGACTATTTTGCATTCCTGCGCTTGTATCTGAGAGTATCACAACATCATCAGCAAAGAGTAATGAATTGATTGATACACCTTTCAGATTCACAGGATTTGAATAAATATTTTTAGAAAGATCATTAATAAAAATGTTAAACAGGAAGTGGGCTAAGATTGCACCCCTGTTTTTTACACCAGTTGATGACAAAAATCTATCAGTGCAACCATGTGTTGTTTTGATTGCATATTTTGTGGTACAGTACATTGATCTTATCAAGTGGAAAAATTTACCCCCGACTCCTGCTTTCAGTAATTTAAACAACATGCCTTCCCGCCAAACACTGTCAAAAGCCTTTCGCAGGTCGACAAAACAAGCATATAGATATGCTTTATTCCCCTTATTGGTATATTTATTAATGAGTGATTTTAATATGAAAATACTGTCAGTTGTACGGTGGTTCTTTCGAAAACCGTTTTGGTTGTCTAAATATAATTGTAGCCTATTGTTAAGAATAATATTAAAAAGTTTTGAAATAGAATTTGATAAGGCAATTCCTCTATAGTTGTTAACATCTGTAATATCCCCAGCTTTATGCAGTGGTACTAGATAACTAGTGTTCCACTCAGTTGGAAATCTTCCACTTGATAAGATTTGATTGAAAAGTTTGTTAAGGATGTAGTAGACATAACAGTCACTATTTTATACATTTTTTGTTTATTGTCTATTTTGGTGGCATTTGTCTATCTGCATGCAATGGATGTGTTTTCCACTCAAAATAGTAACCAGTACACCCAAAAAAAGCATTTTTAACAAAAAAGTTAGGATATGTGTTTATAACAGCAGACCGCTCACTTTGATTTCAGGATTATCGGCTTTGAGCGTAAACAATAAATGTTGACCTAATTTGCATAAGTTGGCCTACTTAGCAACGGAAACAACGCACGCACGCCCTGTGATCGTTCTATATTAGTCCACCGTGTGTGACACATCAAAAAATTAGCGCTCCTTAAAATTGTTATCAGAAATATTATTAGAGAAGGAAGGGACAAAAAAGGAAGAATATGACGCCAATGTCTGAAGAAGCAAAACTTCGTCTCAGAAAAAT